AAAAAAAAAAAAAAAAAAAAAAAAAGAATATGTGAGATATACATATATATATATATGTATATGTATATATACACACACACAATGGAATATTACTCAGCCATAAAAAGAATGAAGTAATGCCATTTGCAGCAACATGGATGGACCTAGAGATTATCATACTAAGTGAAGTTAGACAGAGAAAGGCAAATATCATATAATATGACTTACTTGTGGAATCTAATCAACGATACAAATGAACTTGTTTACAAAGCAGAAACGCTCACAGACTTAGAAAACAAACTAATGGTTACCAAAGGGGAAAAGTGGGCAGAAGGGATAAATTAGGAGTTGGGATTAACATATACACACTACTATATATAAAACAGGTAATCAACAAGGACTTACTGTATAGCACAGGGAATTCTATTCAGTACTCTGTAATAACGTATATGGGAAAAGAATCTGAAAAAGAATAGATAAATATATATGTATAACTGAATCATTTTGCTGTATACCTGAAACTAATACAACATTGTAAATCAACTATACTCCAATATAAAATAAAAATTAAAAAAAAAAGACCTTGGTCTCTTCTTGATGCAGGAGACATTGCTGGATGGCAGAGAGCTAGCAAGGTATGCATGCTCTCCTGCTAGAACAACTAAGCAACTGTGAAGTTCATTTAGAGACCCTCAGAGAGTCGTCCACTCTTTCTGACCTCACAGCCATCCCAACTAATTCAGATCCTCTTTTCCTTAGGCAGCGGATGCTCACATTTGGGACGAGCAAGAAGTGAAGATGAGGTACATATATACAATGGAATATTACTCAGCCATAGAAAGGAATGAAATAATGCCATTTGCAGCGACATGGATGGACCTAGAGATCGTCATACAGAGTGAAGTAAGTCAGAAAGAGAGAGACAAATATCGTATAATATTGCTTATATGTGGAATCTAGAAAAATGGTACAGATAAACTTATTTGCAAAGCAGAAACAGAATCACAGACTCTAGAAAACAAACTTACAGTTACCAAGGGGGGAAGGCGGGATGGGATGGATTGGGAGATTGGGATTGACATATATACACTACCATATATAAAATAGATAACTAATGAAAACCTACTGTATAGCACAGGGAACTCTACTCAATGCTCTGTGATGACCTAAATGGGAAGGGAACCTAAAAAAGAGTGGCTATATGTATATGTATAACTGATTCACTTTGCTGTACAGCAGAAACTAATACAACACTGTAAAGCAACTATAGTCCAATAAAAATTAATTTTTAAAAAAAAGTGCATTTCCTCTTTGCATGGAGATGTATGCTTGCTCAAAATCCTTTCCCTTGGAAAACCACCCATACCCCGGTCTACTGTAATGCTGATCAGCCCCTGTGATTTGGAGCGTGATGATCACCCCTCTAGCCCCAGGGGTGGCCATGGGATAAACACAACAGCAAACCCACTCCTCAACTTTCTCGGCCACAGTGGTTCAGGGGTAGATGTGTGGCTCAAGTCAGAAACATCAGCCTTGCCTGTTTCTACAGTGCTCAGGAGAGACTTTCTCTTCCACTGGGATCACAAGCTGTTAGGACTATGCGAGGCCAGAGCCCCCAAGGGCCTTATTTCCCTCTATTTAGGAAGACCTGGCTGGAGAAAAGAAGAGCTAAGAAATACAAAGAGAGCTCCCTGGACACATCTAAGTACAGCCCCAATACATGCGCTTTTCAGTTACCTAACCCATTAATTTATTTTTTTGCTTGAATTAGTTTGAGTTGGGTTTTTGTCATCTGTAATAAAAAGAATTCCATTTATCTATTACAGTCTTCCAATTTATAAAATAAAAATACAGGATGCCCACTTGAATTTGAATAATTTCTTACTATAAGTATATCCCAAATATTGCATAGGGTATACTTACACTAAGAAAATTCAATGTTTTCTGAAAATCAGATTTCACTGGGCATACTATATCTTATCTGATATATAACGTGTCAAAAGGGTTTTTAAATCCTTTACTCAAAAGGGAGGAGACTGGTCACCTGGTGGATTTACCCTTAAAGAACATGGAGAGAAAATAAGGAAGGTTTCCACAGAAGCATCCAAATTTAACCTTTCTTCTCCAAGTCACCCCTGCTTTGTACTAAGCAGGTGAGGGCAGTTCCAGCGTCAGACTATTTAATCCTCATCAGGGGCAGAAATGCTTCAGCGGGGCCAGCAAAGTCCCCTTTCCCCAACACTTGAATCATCTGAGGGAGCTTTAAACATTTCCACTGCAGAGGCCACACCCCAGACCAATTACATCAGAATCAGCAAGTCTCGCACAGGCGATTTCAATGTACCGCCAGTCCAAGAACCACTGAGCCAGGTCCTTAAGAAATTCAACCAAACTGTAGGAGTTCAAACAAGAAATGAGGAAGTTCATCCTGAAGTGTCCCCACCCTTCCAGCCCCCAGCGACCCCCAGGAATGAACAAATCACCGCAGGTGGGAATCAGCCAACGTGGTAGCCTGAAGGCTCGGACACCGTGGAGCCTTCATTCCAGGCTTGTCCACGCCGGGCCACGTGCCAGCAGGTGTTTGGGCCACAGGAAAGCAGATAGGGTGGCCCAGCCTTGCTCGCAATCAGCTCCAGAATAAACAAAGCGCCTGACATAGAGTTTCATGCCTTGCTCGCTCAGTGCCTGTTCCCCGAGGGGGAGGGAGCGGAGGGGCAGGCAGGGTGGTGGGTGGAGGTGCCCTAGATGAGTATCCGTGATAACCGACAACAGCCTCCCTTTCCTGCCCTCCCCGTGTGCAGACAAGCCACCCCTCACATCCAGATCTGCCGGAGGGCGTTCCCTGGGCTCCAGGTCCTAACCCATGACTTTCTATTCCTGTACCTCATTCTCAGAGGAGCAGACCTACCTCAGAGCCTCAAAATCATCAACAAGGCACCCAGGGAGGGGGCTCCTCGCTCACCTCCAAATCTGCGCAGCCATTCTTCAGCTGCCAACACAATCTCTGCCCATCATACCCCTCCACCTTTGAGGGAACCCTGTCTATTAAGAGTTTTGTAGAGTGGTTTTAGGTTTACAGCAAAAATGAGGGGAACGTACAGAGATTTCCTATATGCTCCCTGCCCCCAGACATGCCTCGCCTCCCCCAATATCGACATCCCCCGCCAGAGTGGAACAATTGTTACAACTTCTGGACCCGAAGCCCACAGTCTACATCAGGGTTCACTCTTGGTGTTGTACGTTCTAAGGGTTTGGGCAATATATAATGACATGTATCCAACATGATAGTATCATACAGAGTAGTTTCACTGCCCTAAAAATCCTCTGTGCTCCACCCTTTCATCCTTCCCTCCAGGCTAACCCCTGGCAAACACTGCCTAAGCATGTCTATTGTTGATTAGGTCCTCAGAGCTCCTGGCGTTCTCCTAGGCATCCTGAATGCATCAGATACACACAATTGGCCAACTGAAAGGAAACATCTGGAACTGTCTGATTAAATTGACTCGGAACATTGTGCCTTCCAGCTGTTATGAATACCGCTAGAGGGCCAGGCTCGGTGAAAACTGAATCCTGGGTAAACATCCATCCTAGTGGTGGGATGACCCTAAGACGACACGGAGGTGACACCAGGTGAGGTCTAGGGCAGGCTAGTGACTTGTGTCCCCAGTGGCTCCAGGTGAGTTCTGGCCACTTCCCAGAAGCCATTGCTGCACTGACATGCTAGGCTGGGATGCTCAGTTCTGAACCAATACCTTTTCAAGTTTAAAAATCCCTCAACCTGGGCGCAGAGGGAAGAGAAACAAAGGGGATAAGGCAGTAGAGGAAGGTTTTGAACTCTATTCCAGTTAGGCTTCAAGGTAAATATGGCAAAGCTCTACCTTCTGATGGCTCCCCCAAGCCAGTGTGACAGTGGTGCCTGATGAGAGAGCCCTAAGACGAGGCTCCTCCTGCCTGTCCTCTGCAAGCAGGGAAGCAGAGCTAGCGTCCGGGCAGTTTCTAAGAGGGGCCTGAGCCTACCAGGCTAATAAACGGCCAGAGGGAGAGCAGTGTGGCCAAAGGGAAAATGAACCGGCACAGCTGAGACAGCCAGCGCCCAAACACGCGGGCTCCAGGTGGAAGGACCCAAGGTGAGCGGCGTGGCGGGACCACGTGTATTCACCCAGACGTATAACTGGCAGAGAGGCTGACCTGCTAGTTCCATTTACTAAAGCAGAAATTTGGCGATTCATGAAATCGTCCAATATTTATTTAGTGCTGACCGGTGTCCTGGGGATGAGAAGGTGAGCAAACTAGTCCTGACCTTTGCCCTCAATCATTCAGATCCACCCTCCACTATCGCCGTTTGTAACACAATAGCCAGGGGTCGGTAAGGGGAAGCAGGAGGCTCCGGCAGCTCATCCTAAATGGGGAAATCAGCCTTGTAGCCTCCTAAGACGATTCACTGGCAAGTCAGCTCCAAGTGTGAATCTCTGAGCAGATGCCTTTAAGAGCATCACAAGCTAATTCACAGTTACTTTAGGAAACTTGAAAAAAACTCGTCTCATTTCCTCTTGGAAAACAGGGTTGCACACGTTTACCTGGGGGGTTGGGGCACTTGCTTTCGCTTCAGCAAAGTCTAACAGCTTCTCTTGCTGCTAAGGAGGGGAGACCCAGCCAGAAAGCGGATGAAGCTTTTATCGCCTCTCTTTGAAAGACTACAGCAGTTTCTTGCCACTTCACAGTAATGTGCGGGCCAGGGTATTGCCTTAAAATCACAGAGGGTAGCTTCCTTCAGAAAAGGAGAGGCCGGCGAAGAGCCACAGTGGTCCCGACAGGAAGAAATGGCTGCCCCTGGGGCTCCTGGTCTTACCTTCGAGGCGTGGGTGATGGAACCAGTCCTGCCCAGCACGTGAGAGCTGGCTTATTCCCGCTGGAGCTGCATCCCTGGTGCCTCAGGTCACAGGGGGACTTTCTACGAAGAGCTACCCTGGAAGGGTTTGTGCAGACAGCTGGAGCAGAGATGTAGCCCCACTTCCTCCGTCTTTAGCGCCATCTTTGGCTGCTCAGCTGCTGCCTCTTCTCCTAAAGAGCATCCTGTCTCCTGCTGGGGATCCCTCCCGCCAGCAGGGGGCGCTGCGGTGCCCACCTGCAGGGCTCTTCCTTGCTTGACCGCTGCATCCGCTCCTTGGAGGGGGGTGAGAATTGGATTTAAAGAAGTTTAACCCAAAGGTGCCGCCTGATTTGGCTGGAAGTAATACTGAGGTGTGGTTAGTTGGTTGGGCAGTCAACCTCCTGTTAATTAGTTACTACCTTAGTTAGTTACTACCTGTAGCTTCTGAGCTTTACATATAGCTCACCAATGCCGGCCTCTATTGGATTCCACACCTGTTGGCTGCTGCCAGCTAACTGAGAAAGGCTCAGGAAAGACTGGTCTCCCCTGTTGAAGACCCATAGATGGTAGAGTCTCATTACTAAGGGTGTGGTCTTGGACCAGCAGCACCTGTGCCTCTTGGGAACTTGTTAGCAATTTAGAATCTCAGGGCCCATCCCAGGCCTATTGAATTGTAATCTGCACTTTAAGGGTATGCCCAGGTGTTTCATATGACCAGTTAACTTAGAGAACCCCTGCAGGAGGGGACACCCTAGCATCTCAGACCATGGATGTTTCTCTTTCAGTGCAAGCATTTTAGCTGTATCCCTCTCTACCTTGTTTTTTTGCTCCACAAGGTCACAAGTGTCACTCAGCACACTGATTGGAACTAGGATAGGACTTATAATTTCACCATGCCTGCTTTACCACAAGGCCCTTTGGTTAGTGTAAGGTTTGTCACATGTAATAGGCTTGGATTTTTAACACAAACACTAAGAGGTCTGGATGTTTATTCCCAAGTACTTTTCCTCCCTCTAGGGGAGTGTTTTCATGGGGGCTTGGCTGTGGTCGAGGACTGCAGTTGCAAGGTTGCCTAATTCCTTGCCTGTCGACTGATGAGATATGTCTCCTACATGTATTTACTATTGCTCAATAGATGTAGATGCCACTTGAAATAATAAAATACAAATCCAGTTTCTGCAGCTTTGTTGAGGTATAATTGGTTTACAAAGAACCACACATATTTAGTGTGTACAACTTGATGAGTTTGGACATATGCAAAACAACCGTGATGCCATCACTACAATCAAGGCAATAGAGAGATCCAGTACCTCCCAGGGTTTCCTTATGACCTTCTGGTTTTGTTCGTTTTGGTTTTGGTTTGGTAAGAACACTTACTATGAGACCTACTCTCTTACCAAATTGTGACATGCACAAGATTGTATTGTAAACTATAGGCATGATGTGTATGGCAGATCTCTAGATAGAATATATTCATCCAGCATAACTGAAACTTTATACACACTGAATAACAACTCTCCATTTCCCAGACTCCCAAGCCCCTGGAAACCACTGCTGTAGTCTCTTCTATGATTTTGACTATTTTAGATACCCTATACAAGTAGAATCAAACAGTATTTTTCCTTCTGAGATGGGCTTATTTCACTTAACATAATGTCCTTCTGGTTCATGCACGTTGTCACAAATGGCATGACTTCTTTCTTTTCTAAGGCTGAATAATATTCCATTGAATGTAATACCACTTTCTTTTTTTTTTGCAAATTCATTTTTAAAAGCTATTTGCACTATCTTTTCTTAGTCAATTCTACTTGCTAGTGTGCTGAGGTTCATGAAACTGGGCCACATTGTTTGGGGACCATTGCTCTAGTGGTCTGAAGCCCCAAGCTCCCTGGAGTGTCTTAATCAAAAGAAAGACATTAGTACCTATTTCCTTTCAGCTGTGAGTTTTCAAAACATTTAAGTTTTTTTTTAAGAGTTAAACATAAACATTGACCTATTGTTCTACCAAAAAATAGGGTCTTTGGGGGAACTGTTCGTACCTGGATTATGGTTATATATTTGTGTAACATGATTTAGTGGGGTACAGCGTCTTTGGCAGGAAGGGTAACAAATCTGACGCCATGTTGGATCTGTTTCTTTCACTTTAACCTCTGTATTCTATTGCTTTTGCTACAAGGTCATCACTAAAGGGATACTGCCTTTAGCTTAAAGTATACACAATGGCCCATCTCCAGGAACCCCGCCTCTCATGCCTGAGGTTAAGCTAAAATACCTTTGTTTAGCTCCCAGGAAACATACTGACCTGGCCCACCTGCCCATGGCTGAAAGAAAGAAGAAATTAACATCTCCCCTCCAGTGCATGGCCGAAACCAGGAAATATCTGCAACAATTTAAGGCCTTTTTAACTTTACCTCCCCACCTCCCCACTTTGCTCTATAAAAGAAACTAGCATCCAAACCCAGGCGAGATGGTTCTTTGGGACACTAGTCCACCATCTTGGTCTGCTGGCTTTTGAAATAAAGTCGCTGTTCCTTGCCCCAACAACTTGTCTCTCAGTTTATTGGCCTGTCATGTGGCGAGCAGCACAAGCTTGGGCTCAGTAACATGGTAACACCACCTTCAGTCTTGTAAGTTTCCAATTTAGATTTGGTCAAGTCCTCAATTAGAAGCCCTCCAACAATAGATGTCTTCCATTTAGATCTACATATTTTTGCATTGCAACTTTTTCAGTTATAACAGATCTTAGAGACCAAGAATTTAGACAAACTAGACTTGGAATCGGACTTTCAAATTGCTGTATTACAAAAACAAAAAACCTACTAAATTACATTAATGTGACAAAGATAATGTGTTTGGCTGACAAGAGTTTGTCTTGATCTTGTTCTTTTAATTTTCTTCCCTTGTGTATATTTTATATGTTCATCTGTAGGTATAACACTACATGCCTATAATTTCCAAATATATATTCATATATTAGGAATGCTTGCATGCTCAAAAACATTTATCAAAAGGGTACAGAATCAAAACTGTTTGGAGATCAGTGAACTAGATTAATGATCTCTTGCTGTCTTTTGTCAACAGATGGATCAGAAAAGTCCTTTTATTGCCATTCTTTAAAGCCAGAATCATGCTACCACATTCTCTAGGCCTGAGTCATCCTTGTTAACATTCATATTTGAGCTTGTTCATTTAACACCAGACTTGGAAAGAAATGACAGGAAGTGTGGGTTTCATAACCATTATAACAATTCTAACTCACGCTCTTTCTTGCCTCTGGGCTGGGCTCCAAAGCTAGAAGAGCCCGAAATTCACAGATTCAACTGAGACTCTTTCCCATGTTTCTCAGGAAGCAAACAGGGTAAGCTGGACATGGCAACACCCTTTTCTAGGCAAAGAGCAAAACCCAAAGAGAGGCGTTGGCCCCCAGCACAATTATAACACGGGGATTCAGTGATGTATGGGTGTCAGAGGGTTCTAGAGCTGGAAGCTACCTTGGGTACCCATCATGGTGTAAGTGAAGACAGAAGGCAAAGGTCAGAATGATTTGCCCAAGATTACACAGGTCGTTAAGAGGCACATCCAGGACCATGACCAAGTCTTTGGATTCCATCTGGGCTCTCGGACTCTATAATATCCCCTCAGGGTTGATGTGGGATGGGGGGATGCCAGGAGGAACATGGAGAATTGTTGCCCTCTGATGAGACACGGCCAGATAATGTCTGGCGTTTGGTGATCTCAGTCAGTGTTTTAACAGCCATCTCCCGGGCACGTGGCTCAGCACACCTGTGTGGGGTCCATCGTGAGAGGACCATGGGGGGCTCCCACTGGGAAAGGTCCCTCTGCACAGCCCTGCCCCTGGAGAGGAGAAAGCTTACCTGCTGCTTCTTCAACACTGGACGATGGACTCACAGTTCCAGCTCTTCTGACCATGCCTCCAGCTCCAACACACACCGGGCGGTGGAGGAGAAATGAGAGTGGGGGGGGAGGGATGGAACCTTGAGGAGGGCAGAGGTCTGCGATGTGTCACTCACGGCTGTATCCTCAGTGCTAGGACGTGCCTGGCACACAGGAGGCGCTCAGGAAATTTTTGTTGAGTGAAAAAGGCCTCACCCGAGAGGGTGGGACAGGACAAGTGAGAGGACTGAGTTTTCAGCCCTGACCGTGCTGGGCTTGTGGGTGGCCACAGAGGTGAGAGCTGGGAGTCCAGCCTGGAGACTAGGTCAGGAAGGACCCAAGAGACATCTCAGTCAGCCTCCTTCTCTTACACTTTGACCTGGTCGTGAGCTGTGTTATATTGCCTGCCAGCCCAGGAGACCCCTCAGGCCCAACAATGCCCCTTACACAACTCATGTCCTCCCTCTAAGTCTCAGTTCTCTCGTGTACGAGGCAGAGATCAGGACCATTCCCACTCACCTCACAGGCTGTTGTGAGGACTGAATGATAATTCACCGTCAAGTGCTTCAGCCACTGTGAACCCCTCTGCACATGTGTGTTGGCGTTAGAGACAAGGGACCACTGGTGGATTTTGCCCCAGAGCACGTTCCTGCTTATTTATATTCAGGTGAAGCGGAGCCACTTGAACTGGTCCAGAGGAAGAGCCCTTTCCAGCCAGTCTCTGTGCCCAGGTTTAACCTCAGTCATGAGGACCAGCCGCTGTGGGCATGGCTTCATTTCCCACCTCCACATGAAGCATCAGAACTCCTGAGCTCTTCAAGAAGGACCACGTTGACACCGACTGGTAGATGGGGTGCACCTGTGGATTTGAGGCATTTGGCCAAAGCTTACTTTTTTTCTCTTTAGAGTTAAAAACGTCTTCTCAGGACACAGGAAATGCTGTGTCTTGAGGCTTGCAGCTTTCCCAGGGCAGTTTGCTAATGCTTTGGTATTTTGTGCTACATTCTTACAGCAAATAAAAGATTTTAAAGACATTACTTGGACGCATGTCGTTTTGAGAACATCTTGGTTCTTTCCAGCATCCAGGGGCTCTCTCCCCACACTGCCTCTCCCTCAGCATGTGGACTTGGGTCATGAATCACAGTCTAGCCTCACCCTCTCTCTCCGGTCAGCAAGGATGGCTGAGTGGTCCCGAGTGTGCTGACAGAGGGACAATGCTGTGGGGTGCCCCCTGCGGTCCCCACGTCCTGGTAGTCACGGC